TGCATGTTCCGTTACCCTAAGGGTTCCGTTGGGTTCTGACTGCATGTACCATTACCCTAAGGGTTCCGTTGGGTTCTGACTATCTTCCGTTACCCTAAGGTTTCCGTTGGGTTCTGACTGCATGTTCCGTTACCCTAAGGGTTCCGTTGGGTTCTGACTGTATGTTCCGTTACCCTAAGGGTTCTGTTGGGTTCTGACTGTATGTTCCGTTACCCTAAGGGTTCCGTTGGGTTCTGACTGCATGTTCCGTTACCCTAAGGGTTCCGTTGGGTTCTGACTGTATGTTCCGTTACCCTAAGGGTTCTGTTGGGTTCTGTTGGGTTCGGACTGCATGTTCCGTTACCCTAAGGGTTCCGTTGGGTTCTGACTGTATCTTCCGTTACCCTAATGGCTCCGTTGGGTTCTGACTGTATGTACCATTACCCTAAGGGTTCTGTTGGATTCTGACTGCATGTTCCGTTACCCTAAGGGTTCCGTTGGGTTCTGACTGCATGTACCATTACCCTAAGGGTTCCGTTGGGTTCTGACTATCTTCCGTTACCCTAAGGTTTCCGTTGGGTTCTGACTGCATGTTCCGTTACCCTAAGGGTTCCGTTGGGTTCTGACTGCATGTTCCGTTACCCTAAGGGTTCTGTTGGGTTCTGACTGCATGTTCCGTTACCCTAAGGGTTCTGTTGGGTTCTGACTGTATGTACCATTACCCTAAGGGTTCTGTTGGATTCTGACTGCATGTTCCGTTACCCTAAGGGTTCTGTTGAGTTCTGACTGCATGTTCCGTTACCCTAAGGGTTCCGTTGGGTTCTGACTGTATGTACCATTACCCTAACGGTTCCGATGGGTTCTGACTGTATGTTCCGTTACCCTAAGGGTTCCGTTGGGTTCTGACTGTATCTTCCGTTACCCTTAGGGTTCCGTTGGGTTCTGACTCTATGTTCCATTACCCTAAGGGTTCCGTTGGGTTCTGACTGTATGTTCCGTTACCCCAAGTCTTCTGTTGGGTTCTGACTGTATGTACCATTACCCTAAGGGTTCTGTTGGGTTCTGACTGCATGTTCCGTTACCCTAAGGGTTCTGTTGGATTCTGACTGTATGTCCCATTACCCTAAGGGTTCTGTTGGGTTCTGACTGTATGTTCCATTACCCTTAGGGTTCTGTTGGGTTCTGACTGTATGTTCCGTTACCCTAAGGGTTCTGTTGGGTTCTGACTGTATGTTCCATTGCCCTAAGGGTTCCGTTGGGTTCTGACCGCATGTTCCATTGCCCTAAGGGTTCCGTTGGGTTCTGACTGTATGTTCCGTTACCCTAACGGTTCCGTTGGGTTCTGACTGTATGCTCCGTTACCCTAAGGGTTCCGTTGGGTTCTGACTGTATCTTCCGTTACCCTTAGGGTTCCGTTGGGTTCTGACTCTATGTTCCGTTACCCTAAGGGTTCCGTTGGGTTCTGACTGTATGTTCCGTTACCCCAAGGCTTCTGTTGGGTTCTGACTGTATGTACCATTACCCTAAGGGTTCTGTTGGGTTCTGACTGCATGTTCCGTTACCCTAAGGGTTCTGTTGGGTTCTGACTGTATGTCCCATTACCCTAAGGGTTCTGTTGGGTTCTGAC